AATAATGTAGTAAAGGTAGATAGGTATATAAAGAATTATACATTTTGAATTTATGTGTATTATTTTTCGATAAAAAATGAAAAGAATATATTTATGTAACCGACTGTAACCTGGTGTGGCGTAGTCGCATAACAATGCCTGGGCAAACAGCCAGGTAGTATACAACTATTTCATTATATACCTTATGGGGTACACAATAAAGTCTATATTTTAGACGCAGGCTATGGTGCATGCACTATGTTTTTTGTTTACCCCCGGCAGCCGCGATGAAGTCAATATGCTTGACTTACGACGTGTTTGTGAATCTAATGTTTATGAAAGTATATCTAATAATAAAATCTTTATTCCTTTAATACATCAACATTTTAAATTGTTACTGTTGTTCTATTTAAATTATTACAATTAAAAGGTTAATAATATATCAGGACAAATTACACAGCGCCCCCTCAGATCGCCGCAAGGGCCTGAGGTGTGACCGCGGGGGCGATTGCGTCTCCAAGAAAAGCCCGAGAAGGTGGCGCGCGTATCCCCGCGTGCCTTCTCAAGAGAGGTGGGGTGGACCCCCAAAATAAAAGCGAAGGGGCTCGCAAACTAAAGCGGGCCGACGTCGCCAGAGTTGCGGTGGACTGACATTTGATCTCGCGACTCCGGCTATAGGCGCTTCATCGGGATACCTTGGAGTTTTTAGTGAGTAGGAGTCTCACAGTACCCGCTTGCCTCCCCCGGGGCGGGCGAGTCTCCATGAGGGATTTTCTCCAAGTAAAAAAAAAAGCTAAGGCTTGTGTTGAAGGTACTAGACTGGACAACTGATACAAATATATTACATACATAATATACATAGAAAACACCCAAACTAATACAAACAATCATGAATATTGTGAGTCTGTACCATGCGAGGATCGAATCCGCGACCATCGGAAGTATCATAAAGCGGAGTGCTAAAATGCTAAACATAAATAGGTATGACTATTCTATAGTGCTTAAATTTAATTTTGGCGAATATAGAATTTCTACAATCTGTTTTGGTTACCGTGCAAAACTAAAACGTTGCGGCTGCCAATTTTTTTTATTACATTCCTAAACATCCGGCGTAATAAAGATGGAGTAAACTCATATTTAATGTTCGAAATTTTAACTAGATTGTTTTTTATGCGACTGGCGTTCAAACTGACGGCCCGCCTGACGTAATGTCACCTACATGACATGAACGGCATTACAAACAGTATTGCAATGTATCAGCCTCATTGAGCCAGCGGTTTAGCACACCGATATATATAAATATAAGGTTCGATTCCCCGCACAGTACAAGCGTTTGTTTTTATGAGAATGATTGTTTGTATTGGTCTGGGTGTTTACTATATACGTTCACTATCAGACTATCTATAGCATCAAGGACAAGGGAGTTATCTAGTCCTAATTTTATCCAAATATGTACTGTAGTTTATGTACAGTTTTAGTTCCTAAACAAAATTTTATAAGCGACTAGCTGATTTTAATTTATATGACAAAAGTTGTTTTGCCATATTAATTAAAAAGTTATTAAAAAATAGGAGTTGGTGATAGAAGGGTGAAAATTGAGGGTTGTATGTATTTTTTAATACCCCAATTAAAAGAAATTGTTGAAAAAAGTAAAAATTGATTGTAACCCTTATCACTTAGGGGTATTAAAATTTAGGGCTACTATCTATTAGCCGATTTTTAGACCTACTAAATATGCATATAAAATTTCATAAAAATTGGTCAAGTCGTTTCAGAGGAGTATGATAACTAACACTATGACACGAGAATTTTATTATTTGTTGATATAAATACATATGTTTCTTTATGTGAATGTCTTTTGTAGCTCATTATTGGGTATTATTAAAAATATTGAATACTGACTCACGCGATTTCGTATACATTTTTTAATTAAAAGACAGTCTATGTCCATCCTAGTAACACAGGATGAACATGTCTATGTTGTTATATATGTCTTTTGTCTAAATACCAGTACTATTAAACAGCCAGTATTCAATATTTAGAATGATTATTCTAAATTGAAAATATCTTCATTTTAAATTTAATTAAGATCCATTAAGCTGTTTAGTCGTCCAAAGATAAGGCTTATTCGCAGGCAGACAGACTTATCCGCATTCATAATATTGGTATCGATATTATTTTATATGTAGATAATGCAAACTTTACAAATATTTGATATCAATCTCAAAACAAATAACTAAAGTATAAACGTTTGGCATACCAAAAACTATGAGATGACAAAATTAACGGTGGATTCTCAACTTCCTATCTTAGATTACGAACTTTGCGTCGTTTCAGATAAAGGAGGATTTGTATTTTGTCTGATGTGTCGTGACATGACGCGTCAGAATGGTATCTGTTTAGTACACTTTGTATGGTAACTGTTCATACAGTACAGAGTCCCCGTTTTGTCATAGCGGAGGAGTGTAGGAACGGGGCGTCATAACATGTCAGACAAAAGTACAAGCACCAGTGTTGTGTTGTGACCCGTTGGTGTTTACCTTACCCAGAGCTTCGGCTGTTTTGAATCAAACTGTACAGAAGGCGTTAGAAGATAACATATATATATGAAAACTAACCGTCACGTAATGACACGACACGTCACGTCACAGCAGACCAATTTAAATCCACCTTAATTTCGTCACACAACAATGTATTATCGGTCAAACTATTTCTTACGATTCTAATAGTACTTCAATATTCTTTTGTTCCATTATTATATTTGTTCTTAGGTTCATATTCCTCAGAATATAAGAAAATAAACAACTAAAGTATAAAGTAAAGTAACGACATATGATAAATTCTGAGATGACAAGATTAAGGTGGAATCTCCACGTCTTATCTTAGACCAGCTACCCGCCCCGGCTTCGTACGAATGTACATGTATACTACATATTAACCTTTCTCTTGAATTACTCTATCTATTACTAAAAACTGTATTAAAATCCGTTGCGTAGTTTAAAAGATCTAAGCGAACCGACAGTGTATGCGACTTTATTTTATACTATGTAAAGATTATGAACATTGCATCGTTTCAGATAACTGCATCACAGAGAATATTATCGCTCTAAGTATTTTTTTTTTTAATTGTTATTTTGTTTATTAAATACACTGCCCACATATTCGTTCTTTGCCCTAGGGGTTGACTGGGAAGAAATGCCATAAGGTGTTCAGTTCACCATCTGCATCCTTTATTTGTGAATTTATGCTTAATGCATAATTTTACAAAAAATAATGTTTCCCTAAATAAATAAATCTTTAAAGATTGTCCTATGTAATATCTGTTTGTTTTTGTAGTGATGTGACCAAATAACCTTGAGACAGCGCAGTTTGTTGTTTTTATATTTGTTAAGTAGTTAATAGTTAATAATTATAGCCCAACGTTTATTGTAAGTTGGAATAATTATTAAATTTTTAACGTGATCACTTGTTAATAAGACAAATAAAAGATATTTAAAATTTTGCCGTAAATTCTACGTCAGTTCAAAGTTACATCGTCCATTCGTTCCCGGCCTGTGAAATGATGAAATCTCTGAACAGCCGAATTGTAGCTAGAATCCTTAAAGAAAGAAAATTGCTTATATCTGTTCTGTGAAGCTTATCTCATTTGGCGTCCTCGTGATCAGAAGCGGGCATTTAAAAAAGGTTCATTTTGAGAAACAATAAAAACCCATAAGTGCTTTGTGTTGGAGATAATACTTATCCGACTGATAATGCAGGTGTGCTGTTAGTTTTGTATGATAAGCACTTATCCTAGTATGACTCGTGTAGTAATCCCACTGTCTATCTATCAATTGCGCTATTACCGAAAAGGAAGTACCTGTTTACATTTTTTTCCATGAAATACATTAGAAATGTATGAGTAATGGTATTATTATGGGAGATTTTTTTTTCCAATATTGTCATAAATTTTATTTTGACAATTGAATGGTGCGGCTTTCAGGACTTTCTTAGTGTTAACCAACATTACAAAAAAGAAAATGTGTTCTCAAGTTAACAGTGTATTAATTATACGTCATTATGCCATTATTTCACAGGTTGACTTCTTCAAAACATTTAAACATACTCTGCTAAAGCGAGCGTAACCTGAAAGCGGAAACGCAGAAGCTAGGAGTTTTAAAAATATGCTCACTCAAAATAAAAAACAGGTTGACGTAATAGAGTCAGGATGTTATAGACTACTCGATAGCATTTGTCTACATATAGTATTATCGGAGGTTTGTTCCACAGAAATGTAGCTAGGACCCTTAAAGAATTACAGTACTGTATTTTTATTTACATTTCTGTAACATTTGAAAATCTAACATAGTTCAGAGTCGCATTTGACATTTCTAGATCTCGTTTTGTTAAGGTCTAAATGCGTCAGTTAGTTTGTTGAACGAATGCTCATGACTTTGTCAATCGATGTGTTGATCCTCTTGTTCCTATACGAAATTTGTAATTTGAAGTCGATTTTAAAAAATATGTGATTTAATTCTAGTTTTAACTTAAACGGTTATGTGGCACGATTTCCTTGACATTAATGAATCTGGTTCTGACGTAAGATTTAATTATAAGTTGGTACTTTAATAGTACTTATCTACACGATCATTTGTTTTTTAAAAATTATCTATAATAATGCTTGAAGTATTGGAAAGAGATAACTTTTACAAATATCCTAATTGTTAATCTATGATGTTATCTAACTGTGTACCAAATTTCATTGAAATAAGCTGTTTTTTTTATAATAACGATAAATATAACTCTCGACAATTCACACAACGTCATCTAGTTCCAAGCAAAGGAGACCATGTGTTATAAGGTACTGATAAAAAACCTCCATTCAGTTTTTTTAACACCCAGAGCAATACAAACTGGCGTTGTAGGCGTCCATTGGGTACCTTAACTATTTACCAACAGATGGGCAGTATATATGATTGTCACCTTCGTGGTATAAACAAAAATCAATACCTAATTATTCATTGTTAATATTATTGTTTCAGTCAATCCTAGAGTACTACTGCCCGGATATAGCAGCGGGTGGGCTAGCATGCTGCGACAGTGAGCAACTCATGAACTTGAAAGAAAAAATCGCCCCAGCGGAGAACATGCTCACGAGATGTCCAAGCTGCTGGGAGAACTTCGTCAAACACATCTGCAGTCTCACATGCGCCCCCAACCAAAGTGAATTCCTGTTCCCGAAGGAACTCGCGGATTACAATGGTTAGTAATAATATGTCTTGATGACTGTCACAAATGGGTTATTCACTATAATAAAAATAATCTCATGACAATTCACACAGCGCCATCTAGACCCAAGTTAAGCCAGCTAAAATTTGTGTTATGGGTAGGTACTAGATAACTGATACAAATACATAGATATCTTTTTCGTATATACATACATATTATACATAGAAAACACCCAGACCCCGATACAAACAATTATACTCATGAATACAAATATTTGTGCCGTGCGAGGAATCAAACCTGCAACAAAATCGGAAGTAAGGCGGTGTGCTAAATCGCTAGACCACCGAGGGCGTCGTAAGAACCTGCAGCACCTTAATATTATAACTGACCCGGCAAATGTTGTTTTGCCATATAAATGGTTAAAAATGGACTCATGACCCCATTGGTAGTATGTGTTTTGGATAATAACGACTGAAGATTTTGGCTAACAAAAAGTCTTGTCCTAATAAAAGGGTAATAAATAAAGGGGCTAGCCTGGCCATAGCGATGGGCTTACTGACCTGACCTCATGTTTATCTTATCATCCTCCACTCGTGCCCCCCCAGAGTAAACTGTTAGCGCAAGTGGATGCACTAGTCCATTATGTCCCTGGAAAAAAATTACATTGTCAAGATTTTCTGTGACGTCAAGACATTTGTAGAAAAGAACAACAGCAATTTTCTTGTCCATTCTTCACGGCTGAATCTGCATTCCGTATGCTTGAAATAAAGTTTAAACACTTTTCATTCTACAGGTTTTTGTATCGGCCTGATTCGTTTATTTATATGACTTTTTTCAGGTACAAAGAAACAAGTGAAGGAGGTTGACTATCATTTAAGTATGACTTACATGTCTGCTACATTCGACTCATGTGCACAGGTAAATAATTATTGCACTTATTAACATTTATACTAACCGCTATAGCTTTGTGTGTACTTATATACATACATTCAATACAAATAAATTATGAAAATATGCTAGAAAGTTCATATTCAAAGGCAGTGTTATCTGTATAAACAGACTATTACCTGTCCCACCCAGTGTCTTAGAATGGGACAGTATAATTTTCAGGCAATTGCGTGTCTTATTACGTGCCTTTTTTTACACAGAAAATATTTTATAATGTCTTATAAAATATTTTCTTTGTAAAAAAGCTTATTATAAAATTGAAGAATTTACAAATGATAATAATGTTCTTGTAGAAAATATCTAACTTAAAATTCAGAGGGCTGACAATGTTATCTCATTGAACAGAGATTAAGTACGTAGCGTTTTCTATGTTGATTGTCGCATGCCTAATCGTTGTTAATGTAAATATAATTAAAACAATATTTATTTAAAAGAGCAACACATAAGTTTCTTGCTCATTCTTGTGATAAGTCTCCATTCCGAATGAGCGGTAGAATAAAAAAACTTGACTATTCAAAAGTGTTTATATTAAGTTTATTTGAATAAAGATTATTTCTATTTCTATTTGTATTTATAGTATGAATAAATGATATATATGATACTTTCAGGTCCAAATGCCTTCGAGCAACCAACTGGCCTTTGATATACTGTGTGGAGATTACGCGTCGAAATACTGCACGCCGCAGCGGCTGTTCGACTTTTTGGGCAACGCCAATTCACCTTTCGTGCCCTTCCAGATAAACTATATTAGTAATGAAACCAAAGGCGATGGATTTATACCGAACAACCCTCCCACTACGCCCTGCAATGTTGGCAAGAATGTAAGTTATTTCAATATAAAATTAAATTTTGCACGCTCAATAATAAAGTGCTATAACTCAAAAATGATAAATTTTGGAAAATCAATATTAAAGTTTAACATTAAGGTTGAATTTATAAAAATTGTATTTTTAGTTAATGCAATTCATTATTAAGTGTTCGATTTTTAAATACAAATAATACCGTGTTTAGGATGCAAAAAAAACTTACTTCAATCACTTTATCACAGATAAGTGAGATTACTATCATATTTTGTTCAAAATATGTACCTCATGTCTTTCTATAATAATTAATTAATATTACAAAATGGAGGACTGACTATAGAACAAAGGGAATTATAGAGTTATTTATAATTTATAAATCTTAAACGTGTCAAATTTGTGAAATAATGTGAAATATACGCGTTATCCCAGGGAAAGAGTGATCACAATGAATAGCAAAATGCACTCACGATGGCTTTCCCGCGGTAAATCGCGCGCGCTTCTGTCGTGATATTCTGTAAGCGTTTCATCAATTCATTTCACTCATCGTGTCATTGAAGGCACTCGTATCCACTTGTCAAATATAAAGTTCCTACTCAGCTGTCGAGTTCGCCTATATTTCTAAGAAAATCACTAGTGCCAGTTTTACCTCCATCACGCTCTCGAGCGTGTGGCACTGCAGTCGCTATCGAATTTTACAGAAATCGTAAGTGATGCTCACAGAATAGTTCTACTGATCGCGCGTGAACGAATGCGTCGTGTGAAGGCAACTATTGATAGAATGCCCGATGTGTAGGGTCAACCGGGTTGTTCGTGCCTGGACTGCGCGGCTTCGTGCCCCGCGCCCCCTCCGCCTCAGCCTCCGGCGCGTCCGTTCAGCATCCACGGCGCGGACGGGTACGCGGTCATCATGGCCATCGTCTTCGTCATATTCACCACGCTCTTCCTCAGCGGTGTGTACTGCTGCAACCAGCAGGAGAATGCCATCGGTGAGTCCTTATTTGTAGCATCGGATATGATACAGGTTGTAAGATAAAAGAATCTGTAACGATACGAGTCGGCAGGAAGTGAGCAATAGATAGATAGAATATTATGAGTACTTTATTTGTAACATACAGTAAAGAAAAGACATAAATAATATATTAATAAATAATATATTATAGTTAGCGCCAGGAAGTAATCAATATGTAGATAGAATATGAATATATATAGAAATATAAGTTCTTTATTTGTAACAAATATTAAAGAAAAGACAAACAATATATTAAAGAACACATTTATAGTTACAGTAACACAGCCTTATTCCTAAAAGCAATATTTTCAACGTAACCAGCTACAGTAGTAAAAAGGTACAGTAGGCAAACAGGAGAAAATAAAAAAACACATATAATGATGAAGGAAAATAATAAGTGGTGATCGATTTTCGCCGATATTCAATAAATGTTTAGTGCGAGAAAATCCATTGTTTGACAATTTTTTTATAATAAAAACAAACAATAGATACAGCCTATTTTACTCATTCCAATGTCTTAGGTCTATGCCTAATAAGGCATTTTCAAATCATTTTCATATTTTTTTAAGTTATTTATAATAATAAATAACTTATCAAATTATCAAAACGAAGAACGTTGGTGAACCAATGTTCTTAATTTTGAAAATCTTTTAAGTATTTTTTTCTTTTGATCTACCTTTTTATAATATTAGTGTATATAATACTATACAAAATTAATAATTGTATTAATTAAAGGCAGAATAGTTTAGCAGTTACCAGGATATCATAAATATGTTATAGATACGGGTACGGAAGCATATTTCAAACAACTTCCTGGTTTCAATGGTGGTGGACAATTTATTTATCGTTCCTCAGAGACTGGTCAAAAATTTAAGTGACTTTGTTTTTCGAACGGCTTTCAAATGGCCAGTGTTAAATTATATATTATTATTTTAGTTTACTTGGTAACAAATAATTTAAAAAAACAACTTTAGTGGTATTAGTAATAATAGATATTTAATTAAATTAGTATATTTCATCTTTAGCAAAAAAAAAATATACCATTTTTGCCTCGTTCTGACTGTTATATATAGAATCATATGCCTTTGAAGTCTCTATTGAACGATGAAACCTTAATAATCTTAACCTTATAGTATATAATACTATAAAACTAAGTCAATATTCTTTGTTATTAATTTGTAGTGGTTAAACGAGGAGAATATATTTTTTAATTGCATCAACAATACTTTATTTATGTATATACATACATTATATTAAATAACACGAATGACGTATGAAATGAACACATTTGATTAAGTAAATAGCACATTAATATCAATATCATACTGTTATATACCTCGTTACGAATATACATAAGTTAGAGCGGGACGGCTATATCATACGTCTTAATCTCTCTCATGCATTCAGTAATTGTAAATGAATGTATTTATTATTGATAAATTAAGTTAGTACTCGTTATTTAGTTCTGATTATTTCGATTTTATTATTAAATTTAATAAATTAAAAAAAAAATGCATGATTCCAGTATGTAATGGTATGATATGATACTGAGTTTTCTAGCACAATGGGTGCAGTTTTCGATTTTTTTTCATTTCGATACGTTATGGTGAAGGTAATTTGTTTTTAAAACGATGTTATCATTATATGATTTAGTAATTGTATTATATACTAGTATAATTTACATTTTAAACGATTTTCAATATTTTTAATTGTTTATTCTGTTATAATTAATTGCGTCCGTAATAAACTTAAATCGTTAGTAATCTTAATCTAAATTGTAGATTACATTAGTTTACAATACGTTATCTATATTAAAAACATTGTTTTAACCAAAATTAAGATTTAACTTTTTTAAATCGGTAAGAAATAAATCAAAATAGAACAGTTTTAGTAACGCCACATTAGAATATGGATGTTTCTTCTATTATGAAGATGACCAAACAACTGCATGCAACAAATGCAACGGTAACCACTTTAAAATTGAGTACTGCCTGTATAATAAATATTATACACACTCTGTATAATAAATAATCGTGTGCAGTTCTACTCTGATTTATTTGTGTGCGACCGGTGTGAGGTTAGAGTGTGAGTAAGCTAAAGCTAACAGCGGTGCTTGGGACAGAGTGGGCGCGGACGGCGGAAGCTCGACGCGGCGGCGGCCCCGAGACCAGCCCGCTACACAGCCACCGCTCTAGTACGTACCCGCTCACATACACGTGCACACGCAATCGCAGCCGTACTCTCGCAAACGCACGCGTAATCACGCGAACGTGCGCGTACGCATACACACGCACCAGTACATAATAATACGCATAAATACCATGCGTACCGACACAACTGGCATTTATACGCATCTAGCTTCTATTCGATTTATTTTACAAATTTAATAAAATTGTATAAAGTATGTAGATACTTTTTATTGAATTATAAATACAAAAAGGCACAGAAAAACAATATATGACTCGACAATTGCTTTTACGTACTTTGTCGCTAAAACGATATTTTTTAAATGTCCTTTAATTCGAAACGTGTATAAATTTAGGATTGGATAGGTTGATGCATGAAATTGAACTTTGCGTGAAAGAGAAACAAATCTGTGTGAGAGAGAGTTAAAAAAAAATCGGGAAAAAATAAAAGAAGGAAGTACAACGTAAAACTATGGAATAGGGATGGACAAATCAATCCCCTCAGACTGATTCTCCTTTAATTTATTCATTACAACCCCTAGCGACTTTAATCTAAGGGGGTACCCTTAGACTAAAGTCGTATCTGTCAGGCGGGACTTGACCTTCAGTCAGTCCATAAGCCCTTCCATTTGTTTGTTTGTGGTTTAGAGTGCTCCGCACTCGCCCCCTATCGTCCGGTGTAGCTGTAAAGGCCAGCTGCAACCAACACATATTAGTCTAAAAAAAGGACAAATAAACGGAACATTGCAGATATAAGAACTAACTATTATTTACTCCCACTAAATCCCATATAAAGTACATTTAATTATTATTTTATTACATCTGAATGTGATTTATGTATTGCATGCTCTCTATTTCATATCATTAACAAATTATGCATGATTCTTAGCCGCATGTTATTTTTATGGTATGTATATTTAAAAATTGCTTATATTTGGTTTGGTAATTATTTATTACATATAATAATACAGTTACATAAACGTTTAATATTTTATAAACGATCTGATCAAATACTGAATAAAGAAATGAAAAATATTTAGACATGTTTTCACAATGAATGTAGAAATAAAGTAGGTACATACTTAAATGGGAATATTATTTGTAGATGTGAATTATTAGGTAGATCTCTCACCATTCGTGACTTATTAATGCAGAGCTGTCCAAATGATGGACCGCAAACCATGCGACCGCGTGCTAGATATCAAGATAGATAGATAAGAATTTTTATTTGATTAGTATAAACAAAAAGTGTTATATATTTTATTATACCCAAATTGTGTATTTGTCGGTCGCAATGAATTTATTTCTGCAACCCCAGCATTATTTTGTGGCTTATACGAATGTAAAACCGTAACTTGATTGGTTGATTAGAGTATCATTTGTAACGTTTTGTTCACATTGTCCGAATTTGTGATTTGTTAATAGTAATGTTGTACGTTAAAAATAAGTGTTGCAGTTTATTATAAGTCAAGGTTGAAACGTTTTAGAATATAAGAATATTTGTGAAATATTGGTTCGAAATGTTATGTCTAATTTTATTATAAAAAAACAACCAATTTCAATTGAGATTTGGGATAAAAACAATGTAGAACTAATACAATAGTACAGTCGATCGATTGTAGAAATATACCTTAATTACGATGGATTATTATTTACAAAATATACAATTTTTATAATTACACTAGCTAATTTCTTCATACTAATATGATTTTGTTGTTTCTACCTTGACTTATATGAATACGCAAATAACATATTTATATTTAAAAATATCATTCGTTATAATAGGTGTAGCCTCAGAAGGCAATCAGGACATGCCTGGTGAACCCACGTCTGGATGGAACGGGGAACAAACCGACGGTGTCGTTGAGGCAACCTTCTTCGAAAAACTCGGCGCTGCAACGGAAAGAATACTCGAAGATTTCTTCGAGTGGTGGGGCAATATAATGGCGTCTAGACCTTGGGTCGTATTGTTCTGGGGTGCGTATATCAATAATTTTTAACTATTATGAGTTGCTCAATTCGAATGCCTGTTTTATTAGGGACCTATAGGAGTTGACCGAATTATGTGGATCATGCCGTTTGATTGGCGCATTGTTCGTAAACCCCGCCCTCTTTAGCATTGTGCCAATCAAATGACAATGTCGACACAGTTCATTCGGTCGGAACGCAATAGTGTGAACCTAGTCTTAGAATCGCCAAGGATTTCGTCTGCTTTATTGTTTTATTTTTTAATATAAAAGTCTACATCTTTCCAACACGAGGACGGATGCAGACTAACTTTCTCTCTTTATGTCAAATTTCGATAAAATAAGTTCAGTCAGACAGAGAAACACTTTGAAGGAAATAATATTAGTATCTAACTCAAATGTTAATTTTTCCCACAGGTATGTGCGTGGTCGTCGCTTTAGGGTACGGCATGAAGTTCACCCAACTGACGACCAACCCAGTGGAGTTATGGGCATCGCCAAACTCCAGGTCACGCATCGAGCGCGAGTACTTCGACTCGCACTTTGAACCATTCTACAGGACTGAGATGGTCATCATCAGCTCCAAGGGTTTGCCAACTATAGAACACGAAACACCTGACGGTACAGTCAAGTTCGGGCCAGTATTTAATTCAACTTTCATGCTGGACGTTTTGGAACTGCAGAAAAGTATTATGGGTAAGTAATTTTTTACTACGATAGATAATACCAATCCAATCAAATATAATAAAATTTTCTCCTTCTTCCGTATCCCATTTATCTGGGGTCGGCGTAATATGTTTTTCTCTTCCATTCATCCCTGTTCGCAGTCATTTCGTTATTTACTCCCATTCTTACCATATCATCTTTCACACAGTGCATCCAGCTTTTTAGGATAGCAGTAATGAAGATATTTTTATTTTTTATTATGATTGTTATAGCACTAAACAAAGGCTACGGGATCGAGGATATCTGCTATCGACCGCTGTCATCGGCGTTTGAGAGCGAGGTGACGCCTGACAACTGCGCCATCATGTCGGTGTGGGGCTGGTTCGAAAACGACCCCGATCTCCTCGACCTGGACAGGATCATCTCCTGTAGCAAGTTAGTATCGTCTTATATTTACACCGGGTTACTCGTAAAGGGTGTGTATTAAGCCGCAAGGATATGGATCCCACGCGCAATTTATTTGTCTTTATCTTTGTCTTATTTGTTAAATTTCGAACTGACCGCTGCGGGACGCAAACGGTAAAAAAGAAAAACGACGGAAAATACGTATCATTTCAATAATTGTAAGTACAATTTTTGAATGATACGTATTTTGAGTTATACAATTATTGAATTTAAAATGAACAGAATATGAAATAATTTTTTATTCTACATCCTCGCAACTGTGCTGAAAAACGTCGGACGACATGCGTTTTTAACACACTCTGCTCTACAACGCCATCGCCATCGGCGTGCACTGAAATTCCGCCTCGTGTGTTGTAACCATCATAATGCACTTATATAGTAATATACGTATCGTATAATATATATGGTGTGTTTGCAGCAATCCTTACTTGTGCCTCGCACCATACGGCGGGCCGGTTCTGCCAGCGGTGGCGCTGGGCGGGTTCCTGGCACCCGGGGAGCAGCTCAACAGCAACACCCGCTTCCACGAGGCCACCGCCCTCATCATCACCATCCTGGTCAACAACAAATACGACAAGGAACAGGTACCTACCAGATGCAGTATTACTTACATTGATGTCCTCTGTGGTCTAGCGGTTTAGCACACCGATTTACTTCTGATGGTCGCGGGTTCGATTCCTCGCATGGTGCTTACATTTGTATTCATGAGTATGATTGTTTGTATCTTATGTAATATGTATGTATTTACGAAAAAATATATATCTATGTATTTATCAGTTGTCTAGTAACCATAACAAAAGCTTTATGTAGCTTAACTTGGAAGTAGATGGCGCTGTGTGAAGTGTCCTGAGATTATAATAATAATAATTATTATTATTAAGTTTTATTACTATGATACTGATTAGCTTAGTAATATTACTGTAACCTTTCAGCTGAAACCGGCCCTCGAATGGGAGAAAGAGTTCATCAAATTCATGAAAAACTACACTGAGAATTCAATGCCAGAATATATGGACATCGCATACACATCGGAACGCTCCATAGAGGACGAACTGGACAGAGAGACACAATCCGACGTGTCCACTATACTCGTCTCTTACTTCATCATGTTCGCGTATATCTCTATCTCCCTCGGACGCTTCACAAGTTTCTCGAGACTGCTGATCGACAGTAAAATCACTCTTGGTCTTGGAGGTAAGTTTTTAACCTTTTTTTATAATACGAAGGTGGCAAACAAGCATAAGGGCTATCCGATGGTCATCTAAACCGTTACCATAGGCTATGGACGCCTGAAACACCAGGGACGTCACCGATGATGTTTTCTAACGTAACTGTAAAGGCGCTATAATTTAAAGGGCTACTTTTAGTCCTGGTAACGTCCCAAAATTCTTATCACGACTCATACACACTAGCTACTCAGCCCGGCGTCGCAAAAATCGACTTTCTCTCACTTTTTTCTCAAAGGAATTCTATTGATTCGACTCCACTGAACTACAATATATATATATATAATTAAATAATTGTAATATCAGGTGTGTTCATCGTGCTGGCGTCGGTGGTGTGCTCTGTGGGCATGTTCGGGTACGCGGGCGTGCCGGCCACCATGATCATCGTGGAGGTGATACCGTTCCTGGTGCTGGCCGTCGGCGTCGACAACATCTTCATCCTCGTGCAGACCAGCCAGCGCGAGGCGCGCCGCCCCGACGAGACCATCGCAGAACACATCGGCAGAACGTGAGTGATCATCTTCGTGATGATTATAGTAGGTGGTCTACAGGCCATACTTCCGATGAGTGAGACGGGAGTATGATTATATAGGTCTGGGCGTTTTCCATTTATGTTATGTATGTATTTAAAAAAGAAATAAGTATTTCTATCAATTAGCTAATACTCATCACACATGCTCTGTTTAGCTTTACAATAATTGATTTATATTATAAGTTTGAACATTATTAAGTTTAGGTTGTCAAAGAAAGGTAGTCAAAGACTATTTTTCTATGCATGACTATGTTAAAGACATGGTAGTGTATGTAATATATTTTATGCATTATTAAAAAAATATTAGCATTTTGCATTCTTGCCTTCTCTATATAAACTATAAATGTGCGAAATTTCATATTCTGTATAAAGTTGTCGCTTAATGTATTAATGTAATGTAATGATACTAAGCACGATCAACGGCCAAATTTACGGGTAAAAATAAATAAAACGTGGTAAGAAGATTCCGTGATTTTTCTAAGGATTAACGTAATGACGATGCATAATACTAAGTACAAAAGGATTTCTATGGCCATGATCACGGGTAAAAATAAATAAAACGTGGTAAAATCATGCCATTTTTCCTAATACCTATATAAATAATGGCAGCGTCAAATTTAAAAAGAATATATATATATAAAGAGGAGTCTCTAAAGCGCCGAGTGGGTGTAGGCTGGGCCAGGTGGGCCCGTCGATGTTCCTGACGTCGGTGTCGGAGTCGGTGTGCTTCTTCCTGGGCGCGCTGAGCGACATGCCGGCGGTGCGGGCGTTCGCGCTGTACGCGGGCGCGGCGCTGCTGGTCGACTTCCTGCTGCAGGTCACCTGCTTCGTGGCGCTGCTCGCGCTCGACACGCGCCGCCAGGACGACAACAGGTCACACGCTTTCTTTTATTTATTTCATCATTCGAACGGCAGCAGATATAAAAAAATTACCATCCTGTAGGACACTTAGTATTTTTTTTATTTCATACTAGCTGTACCCGCGATTTAGTCCGCGTGGAATTTAGTAAAAAAGTTAATTACACAATTTTTCTAAAATAAAAGTAGCCTAGGTTACTCCTTATTACATCAGCTACCTTCCAATCAAAATAGGTTCAGAGATTTCAGAGATTAGCCGGAACAAACAGACAGACGGACGTACAAAAATTGTAAAAATTGTTATTTTGATGTATACTATATTTATATTTATATACGTATAGTAAAAAATCTTTATTTCAATATTGCAAACACACTCTCCAATTTTTGATTTGGTTGAAATAGCAGCTATTTTTTAAATAGAGGCAACCTAACCTAGGTTTTTATGAAATTGCCTTCAATATTTGAATGCCCGGGGACCCATCATTTAGTTATATATAACTTACTTCGAAACTTATACTAAGATTACATGTTTGTCTAAGTTTTTGACCTCACACATATTCCACATCCTACATCATCTCCTATTTTCGACCCGTCTGTAAACCAGACTAGGTCATCCTTGTATCATTTTGATGTATGTACCATATTTATATTTATATATGTATAGTCAATAAGCAAAAGTCATATTAACATTGGAACGGCAATTAGAGATTTTAATAATATTGCATTTAAGTATATAATAGTAATATTCATCAAAAAATATATATACTATATATATGTTTGAATTTATTAATGTGTCGCACACACTGTGCGAATATATACTGGTATATATTATTTTCAGTACATGCATTTAAAATATACATATACGGTCGATTATTTTGAATTATAAAAACCTTCATTCCTCTTGGGAGGTGCGAATGATCAAACAATATTCCTAACCTATGTATTGAAGCTAACATAGATATAACTCGATACCCAGGTTCGACGTGGTGTGCTGCGTGTCTGGCACGAAGTCTGCCGAGGGCACGGGCGGTGAGGGCGCGCTGTACAACTTGTTCCGTCACATCTACGTGCCGTTCCTCATGAAGCGCGAAGTGCGCGCCTCCGTCATGATCATATTCTTCGCCTGGCTCTGTTCCTCGGTCGCAGTGAGTACTCTATTTATAATACATCATTGTCTTCCCGTTATTATTTAATTTTGTTACTATCCTATTTTTATGCTTAATGAATAATTAGTTTGCAATTTTGTTATGTTGTTGTCAATTTTTTATCTTTACTTGTTAAGGACATTTTTAAACTCGTAGTTGATTTTATTTATATGTGTTATTTAATATAAAAAAATAAAGGCTAACATTTATGAAAAATAGATGTTGGCTGATTCTCAGACCTACTCAATACGCTCAAAAAATTTCATGAGACTCGGTCAAGCCGTTTCGGAGGAGTATGGGAACGAAAACTGTGACACGAGAATTTTATGTATAAGATTAATTTACTAATAAAGGCGCACTGTCCCCTCTGAGTTATACACGGTTTTATCACAATTGTTACCTCTAAATTTTATTATAATAAAGATGATTATTATTATTATTTATTTCTCGAAATTCGTCGATATTATAAGTTAGATTTAAATAAATATTAGCACGGTAAATAGTCACACTTTATTTAACACTTTTGTACAGGTTGCACCACACATAGACATCGGTTTGGATCAAGAACTATCCATGCCCCACGATAGCTTCCAGCTGAAGTACTTCCAGCACCTCAACCGGTACCTGAACATCGGACCGCCTGTGTACTTCGTGATCACCGAGTTGGACTACTCTACCAGGGACACGCAGAATATGGTCTGTGGCACGAGGTTCTGCAGACCAGACAGTGTCTCCAACCAACTTTATAGCGGTTTGTAGAAATTCTTCACTATTTTTACATATTATCTTTACATAGTGAAAAGTTGCAACCGCTGTCTGATCGTTTATATCATTTAAATTACGACAACGGATTGTAATGCAGCTTTTAGTAATAGATAGAGTGATTCAGTAGGAAGGTTTATATGTCAAGAATATCGAATATCGATCGTATCGAGTCGAACAATATCGTAATTTTTCTGTAAAGTCTTGTTGTGTTATTTAATATTTTGACTTTACTGAATTACTGCTAGTTGGTAGTTTGTATTCACACATTCATTTAAAAATGTAAAGTTACAACTATTATTTAAAAAGAAACACGCAAGATTCTAGCTTCTTCTTAGCGTTCTTCTTGTGATGATAATTATGACTATTTAAAAAAGCTTAAATTTAAGTTTATTTGAATTAATAATTTTTCTGTTCTATTCTATTCTATTAACTCTGACGACGCTTCATAGCAGTTTCACTGATGAGACCAATTAGATGTTATTAAATGTTTAATGTTACAGCATATCTGGCCGCCAACGAGACGTACATAGCCCAGGCTCCGAACTCTTGGCTGGATGACTTCTTCGACTGGTCTGCATCATCTACCTGCTGTCGCTACTTCCCGACTAATACCAGTTTCTGTCCGAATGACCGTAAGTACATTGTTTATGGATGATAATGGAATGGTGCACCCGCCTGCGCTAATGGTTTACGCTGGTGGGGCACCAGTGGAGGATGATAAGATGAGCATGAAGTCAGGTAAGTTAGCCCATCTTGGTAAATTGCAATTTACCGCGTTGGTTTCCAGGGTGTCCCGCGTGGAGGTCAACCTGACATGGTATTTTTCCGGCATGGAGTTATTACTCCACGGTACTAACAATTCCCTACCCCCTGCTGATTACATATTGTATTAATATGGGTGAAACATCGTGACAAAAGCTGCTTTATACAACTGTAACTTTCTTTTACAGATGGATCTCCATGCAAGGCCTGCAACATCCAACTCACTGGTCCTGAAAAACGTCCAGACCAGGCAGACTTCCAGCGCTACGTCCCATTCTTCCTGCAAGATAACCCAACCTCCAGCTGTCCCAAAGGTGGCAATGCAGCATATTCAGAAGGCGTCAACTACAAATATATTAGCCCCAATGTCTCCAAGATCGGAGCTACTTACTACAGAGGTTATCACACAGTGCTCAAGACCAGTCAAGACTATTACTCGGCTTTAAGAGGGGCCAGGACCGTGGCAGCGAACCTCACAGAGACATTGAACAGGAATCTGATGGAAGCAGGAAAGAATACAACAGTGAATGTGTTCCCATACTCAGTGTTTTATGTCTTCTACGAGCAGTATTTGACGATGTGGCCAGACACACTCAAATCTATGGGAATATCGGTGCTGTCTATATTCATAGTGACGTTCATATTGATGGGATTCGATCTGTTCTCTGCTTTGGTGAGTGTAGTCTTTCTTGTATAGCGTAATCTATTATTGTCAACGAATTTATTTATAATTTCGAAGACTGATTACATGATAATTGCTAAAAAAGTAATATCATCAAATTGTATAACAATTTTGTATATCTGGTGTTTGTATACTACCGGAAATTTCGAATATTGTACTAAATAAAGAAATATATACTGTTGATGTACCATAAATAAAATAAAGAAATATTAAATGCTTAATGGTAAACTGCAGTAAATGATAACATCATACTGACTCTCGAATAATAGCCATTTAAAAAAATTCATTTGATACGGCCATTAAACATGAAATCTGACAAGAAGATCTGACAAGAAATTCAATTGGTACATTTATGTATATATATTCGTTATTATACTTAAATACATTTTTAGTTAGATTCCTTACAACTAATGTTAACAAAAGATGACTTATCTCTAAAAGAGATCTCTTCCAGTCAACTCAATACAGCGTGGCATAGGATGTGTTGAGTGGGTCAAAATGTGCAAATAATCTTATTATTATTATTATAAACGCGAAAGTTCGTGAGTATGGATGGATGTTTGTTACTCTTTCACGGAAAAACTACGGAATGGATTTTAATGAAACTTTGCAATAATATAGCTTGCTAATAACATTAGAATAACACAAATTTTAAAAGATATTATCTAAATTAAGTGATATATGATGAAATTGATAAGTGTGATGCAGACGAACCCGCGCGGCTTCGTTAATAGCTAGTATAAATATAAAAATATATTTATATTATTGTTCTAATTGACAGGTGGTGGTGATAACAATCACAATGATAGTGGTGAATCTCGGCGGTATCATGTACATGTGGGGTATTAGCCTTAATGCCGTCTCGCTCGTCAACTTGGTGAGTAAACAGTCCAGAGATATCTTCTAAAGTTTCGTGTTTAATATACATTATTTCTGTTGTTACATTGGTCTTAACACGAATAATTTTATGGTAAATAAAGGTTTACCTCTCGATGTTTCGACTGGGCTGCACTAGCCTTGATCACTAGCGGTCGGAGTAACAGCGATGTATTTTTTATCCAGTAACTACCTTTTTAGTTTGAATTTATATATTCGTTTACTTGAACAATCGTCTTTAATATAAGTTAAGTCATAAATATTTAATATTTATTAGATATTCGTAACGTCATGTATCTTCTTGTTCTCTTATCAACATCATTGCCTTGCCTTTATCCCATTATTTGGGATCGGTGCAGTATGTCATTCTCTTCCACTGCTCTCTATCGGTTATCATATCTGAACTTACTCTTCTTTTATTCATATCATCTTTCACACATTCCATCCATCTTTTCTTAGGGCGTCCCCTCCCTTTATATCCATCCACATTCATATTATACACTTTCCAAAAGACATGATCCTCGTTCCTCCGCTTTCTTGTTCTCTCATCATAATAACTTAATACTCACTATTAATAAATGTGTCTTAAGTTTATTGTAATAAAGAAGACTTGTATTTGTAATCCCCGCTCGTCCGCGGCCCGTGCGGCAGGTGATGGCGGTGGGTATCGCGGTGGAGTTCTGTTCGCACCTGGTGCACAGCTTCGGAGTGTCCCGCGCGGGCGGCCGCGCGGCGCGAGCGGCCGACGCGCTCGCCAGGATGGGCTCCTCGGTGCTGTCCGGCATCACGCTCACCAAGTTTGGCGGCATCATAGTGCTTGGCACCGCCAAGAGCCAGATCTTCCAGGTATAGTAGATGCTGATGATGGAGTGGTATACCATGACGATGGAATAGTACGCCTGCCTGTGATCACGGTGTATGCTGTTGCGACAGTGGTATGCTGCGTAGACAGTAGAACATGAGATGTGAAGGAAGTCATGCTTGAGCTCTCAGTCTACGCTGGCGGGGTGATGGGATGAGGAGAAACAAAATTTAGGTAGCTCTTGTATCGAATTCAGTATTAATTTATCACTAAACATCGTGATTATTCATATTGAATTAGACAGAATGAAAAGACTATGAAAGCGTTCCAACGGTGCACGTTAATGCGGTGCCAATGGAGGGTGATGACATGAGGAAGAAGTCTAGTCACAGCACTAGTATCAAATTCACGATATGAGATTTAAATATTAATTAATCACGTACAATCTTGATTAATTAATATCGTACAACAATAAAAAAGACACTAAAAGAGTTCACCATTCTAGTGATATACGTTGGTAGGATGATGGGATGAGAAAACGTCAGGTCACTTAGCACTAATGTCAAATTCACGATATGAGAGTTCAATATGAATTAATCACGAATTGCCATAATCATTCTGTCATTAGGTTACCTAGTATTAACTTTAATTGTTATATATTCCTTATTTTACTTTAAATGTTGTAATTTACATACAAATAAAGAACAATATTGTATTTGAAATTAAAAACACACTATGGAAACCATTCCAACGATTGTACGTTGGCAGCGTGATTGGGTGAGGAGGAAATCTGGTCAAGTAGTTATAATGTCGAGTTCAATATGAATTAATTACGTACAATCATAATAGAATTGGACACTATGGAAACCATTCCAACAGTATACACTGACAGGGTGATGGGATGAGGAGGAAATCAGGTCAGTTAGTGCTAGTGTCGAATTCAATATGAATTAATCACGGTGGTTTGAAGCGGGACTACATGGAGGTATTTGCTGCACTGCACTTTCCACCAGGCGGACCATCCTGTGGAAACTTATAAGCAATTCCAATTACATAAAAATACCTTTAAAGACAAGTTTTGTTTATTATTTTATTAGTAATTACATAGTAAGCCATGAATTATCTATGTTATGATTGCAGGTGTTTTACTTCCGTATGTACTTGGGAATCGTGCTAGTCGGCGCGGCCCACGGCCTCATATTCCTTCCGGTCATGCTCAGCTATATCGGTAAGTACCTACGAGACCCAAGGGGATGTCCGTACATTACGTCACATGTTTTTTTTTCAACAAACAGATGGTTCATGCTTTATTAATTTGTTTTATTTATTTTATTATGCTAAGCTTCTTATATTTTTTTTTCCCTCACAACCGTTTACAATTCTTAATAAATTTATCTGGCCAGGTCTCAAGAGTCAAATTCTTCTATCTAGTCTATGATTAATTAGTTTTTTTTAAACAAATAAAACTTTGAGTTAATTGATTTTCTTTGTCTATAATTAATCTAGGATCACTACGAATTTAAACTTCTAGTTTGTTGAGTCTGACCATTTCATGATTAATGTATTGATTTATTTTTTAAAGATATAATACTTACGTCATACTTTAATGTGACGAGAGGGTCGGGGGTGCACAAAGTGTGACGTGTGACATTGTAGGTTTATAATGAAATTCAATTTGATATTAAAAACACACATTAATATATGGCTGTGATTAGGGGGGGGGGGGGTTTGAAATATGTTATTGTGACATCACAATTCAATTTTGATATTAAAACACAAACATTTTGGCTATTAGTATGTGACCACCTATTACTAGAGGGGGGGGTCTGAAATAAAAATTTTATCTATCCATCTAAATTATTGTGATGTAATTTAAGGATGGTCCCTGATAATAATCACATAAGTCATCACCTTCCGACGCATAATATATCACAGCGGACATTTGTGAACATTTACGGACGCGTGCTACCAATGTCTATGGCAATGGTAACATATGAGGGGTAACGCTGTCACGTGCGTAATGTCCATGGTTTACCTTAGTCTACAGGAATGGTAACATATGAGTGGAAATTGCGTCATGTGACTGCTAATAACATGGTGTGTTCATCTATATAGATGTGATGACCTGGTAATGGAGTAAACACACACAGTAGGGCATAATGGTTACATCTTGAATTACTGTAGCTTACACTAATTACATCTATATATATACGTGTCGATAAAGTACACTGGCACAATGCTGATTTTCACTATATTACATAGATACCAGTTGCCATTTCCATCGGGTGGGGCAGATGCCTCTATTGACTACATGCTTATTTGCCATTATATAAAAAGTTACAACAGTAGTTAAAAAGTTTTTTTTTTTTTAATATATTAGCCTCTTATGAGTTCAACATTTATTACGGATATAGCAGTACTGCCAACGTCATATCAATCATGGAAATAACAGGTTAGTAAGGGAAGAGAAATTGTAGTGTGAGATAATTTTAATAACCCAATACAATTTACACAGTAAACTAAGCAAAACTACCGCTGAGTGCAGAATAAGTGAGAGAAGTAAAAGACGCACTTAAATACTTTATTCTCTGTGTAATTAAATGTATCCGTCAGGCGTAGTAGATCTTCAGCCGCTCCATAATCCTTCAGTATGTAATTGTTTGTTGTTTGGAATGCCATCTATCACCCTCGCCCCACCCTATCATCCGGTGAAGTTGTAAAGACCAGCTGCGGCTAACAACATTAGAGTAGTCCGAAAAAAACTTCAATCCTTTTATTTCCTTTTATTATAAAATTAAGTTATCACCTAAACGTAAATGTTCACAAGTATCGCACACATTTTAATTTATTGTCGTTTTATTTAATTCGAATATATCAGTTTTTATAATATTACAAGAAATAATTAATAGTGAAGATATTCTAAAACTGATATATTTTATTCTTACGTTTGTACTGCATGCCAACATTTCTTTTATTGTTTGCCCTACACGCTTGTATATTGGACCTTTTACGTTTTTTTTTATTATATATAAATAAATTTAAATATTAGGTTCTACCATAGGTGTAGTTTATCCGATTATTATATTTTCCTGTTCTCAATATTTTGAGAATATAGGTAGTTAGTAATATAAGTTGAGATTTCTCAATTCTTTATATAGTTGCGTTTTTGTACAGAAATAATTAATGACATATTTTGTCAGTGGTTTCGAATAATTGTTTAATGAATTATTTCTAATTTTATATCAGTATCATAAATGAATGAAACTTTTAATTTTGTTTAAAACCAGAAATTCCCGATATCTTATGGAAATCGAGGAAAAACATAATTTTCAAAACACATTTGAAAACTCAACTATGATATTTCCATTTTTAAATTATGATTAAGAAAAAAGTAGTGAACTAATCTATATATGTTTTATCACTGAATGAAAGGCAAAAGTCATCATAATAAAATATATAGGCTAGATACTTTAATAATACTACCCAGAAAAAAAACGAAGTGTAAAATACAACTGTGGACATAATCTGCAACTATTGACTGTAAGAGATTTCTTCTAGAAACGTTACCTTTGCTAACATTATGTGTAATTAGTATTTTTACCACATCTAAAAATACACTAAAATATTATTTAATATTACGTCCGGCTTTAATATCATCGTATATTTTTGTTCTTTTTTTTATTAACAACATTTTTTTCCCACTAAACCATACTTACACATAATTTTTGTGCGTACTAACAACGAGGTAAAAAAACACGAAAGACACGAAAGAAAAACAGCGGAGTCATGGTGTCTATTAAAGGAAGAAGAGCATTATAACCATAACATTTTGTAATTATTATTTTGCACATATCAATTGCTGTTTATATATATATATATATATTCACATTGCGTATTGAATTGTTACACGGCATGTAATAAAAAGGAATATTTTTTTATTAAATGTCTATAAACTTGTCTATGATCATTTCCATTTATGACCACAATATGTATGCAACATAATTAATCTACACTTTTTAATCTACTGCTGCATGCGCAAATGATGATTTAAAAAAAAAATATTGGTTGACGGAAATGTTTATCATGATAACTTACAGTGTCACTTGATTTGGCGTTTTGCATATTTGTTTTATTTTTAATATAATTGACGGAAAGATAACCCTGCGAAATGAGACATATATGATGTTCATTACATAATTGGAATCGCTGCGAAAATTTATTATTTCACTAGGTACAAGTGCCATTACATGCAATTAATAAAATAAAAGTATTTGAACAGGTCATGGCGAACAAGGTGCCCGTGCCACTATCAATACATATAATTCTGTTCGAGATGTATGACATATTTTTAAAATGGCACCGCATGAGTGGTATATCGGGCTAAGTTTGATAAAGTAATTCTTTAGTGCTATTCCTGTATATAGGCGACAGTTACCGCTTACCATCAGGTGACAGTCAGTTTGTTTGCCATTCCAATTACTAAAAACAAAACCAGGTCGATTGATCTATATAGGAACGTTGCTATATTTGTGTATCTGCCGTCCGGTCATTGTCTAAGTGCATTTCAGTTAGTCGTCACAATATAAGCATAGAGAGACATCGTCGTTTTATTTACACTTCAATATAAGATTTAACTACTCCCAAAAAAAAAGAAAAGACACCTTAACAATTTTTCAAATTTTCTGTCCACACATGGCCATTGTTTTTCAAATGTAGCGAATACGTAAATATGCAACGCCAAGTGAAGTGCTGACATTATATCTAGTCAGAACTTTATCATAAACAATTACATATTTCACTAATCCTACAGTCATATGTGCTTTTCCGCGCATGTAGTATAGATTGAAATGCAGTGAAACAGCTGATGCGACATGCGGACGACTCGTTCATTTTCAGGTTCCCCTGTGAACAAACAAAAGCTGGCGAACCATATGCTGCGAGGCAAGGAGATGACTGTTGCGGAGACGTCACTCACGAGAGTAAGAGACGGCACCGGCCACACATATGTTTATGTACAGACCGTAGCATAAGTAGAAACATGTTACACTGCTAAATAGAATAGGTCACAACTATCCGTGACTCTACACTTAAATTGATCACTTTTTCATATCGTCGTATAATAATTTTGTAATATTCTATATTGCAGTGCTTTGAACGTGTTTCTACTTCCAACGTGCGTGTACGCACTGCGTGCGGACGAACGAGAATGTGTCTCATTACTATCGTATTAAAGCTTAAATTTGTAATTATAGCATAAAAATATTTTTCATTTTTAACACCATTATGTATATATATATATATATATTCTCGTTCGTCGTATACTAACGCCATATGAAATACAAACTCACCGTGAATCGAGAACCTACAGCTCATTGCCCTAGACCGCTTGTACTTAAACGATTTAGTGTAATTGAGTAATTGTAATAATATAAAGTAAACGTACATCACACACTCTTTACCTAATAATGATAAATAGTACTTTTTTTAAGTATATTTTAATACTTAAAAAAAAAGTTGTGTGCCAAAACATAATCTTGTCTCTTGTAGAAAACCTATTCATATGATATAAGAATAAATTTACTTAAACATAAATATTCGTTTAATAATTGCTATACAAAATATTTAATAAAACATATAAAATAAAAGTACTTATTATTATTATAATAAATTTTATTTAATTAATATTCAAAGTGATAGATTCTGAAAGTTCTATTGGCAATAATTTTTTTTAATTCCATTCCTTTTTTATCTATGGAAAATGTAATGACGTCTACCCGTTAAGAACGACAGGTGTGTCATTTTTATATTGCTTATATATATTTTTTAAATATAAAAAAAGGCGCGTGTGATGTATTTTACTAGACGTCGAAATGGCTGTGTGGGAATATGGTTCTCTTCCCTTTGTTATATGGCATTTATTGTATTAACAACTTTCAATAGGTGATTTATAGTAACTTTCAAACATAACCTTATAATGCTGTGCTCAAAAAGGACTGGTATCCTAAACCGTAAAAACAGCATAATAAAAAATAAGTTATTGAAAGTCTTTTTTTTTAGTCCCTTTATAAAAAAAAGTATCAGTTTTAAGGGTTGTAACTATTTATTCAGAATATAGTCACGTATTGAAAGTATATCGGATGAGGTATCTAACGAATGAGGTTGGTTTGTGGGACGGGACACCTTGCTCCGTACGGAGATACGAATAATTATAATCTGCATGTACCGATGTCTAGATGTTACAATTAACGATCATTCCTATATCACTTCGAATTATAAATTTATTTTTACTATATTTTTTTTATTTGCGTAGTTGAAACACCGCCTTTGTATTGTGTATTATTTCACTTTTTGTGGCATTATAGCAGACAGTAGTACTTATTATCATTTATTTTTAATTATAAGTACTTAATCCATTAGATTTCTGAAGGCGTAACAACGAATACTACTTAATTTAATGATTTTAATTTATATCATTATATAGAATTTCTTTTTTCTAAATTGAATATGACTAAATATATTTTTTAATTTAATCTGTATTTTGTTGGCAAAAATTTGCTTTACAGTCCCCGCGCTGTGATTTGTGTTATACAATAGTAAATTATCAATATATTTATTTTGTGTGAATGTTAGTGTAGGAAATGAATATTACACTATATTTTCTTAGTTAATATTAAAATTTATTAGAATGTCATGTCGTGAAATCGACTCGTATACATTATTGTCTAAGTGGAATATGCTTAGTGTAAATTGGGCATAATATTAAAAATGTATTATTATTTTTAAATAATATTAGTTTTGGAACAAAGTTGGTAATATTTGAATTTGGTATATGAATGTTATGTAGTCGCCTGGAAAGGGAAGTGACCTTCAGGTGATTTCAAATTAAGAGATTCAAGCAACAAAAAAAAACATTTGGCCTGTAAATAATTGCTACAGTTGTGTCATAGTCTAAACAAACTTATTGCTGACAGTTGTATGATATCTGTATACAATATTATCTATGCATTCAAATTATTAAAAAAAAAGTTGCTATTAATATTGCACTGTACAAAATATTCACAGTTGAAACTGTACATGCTTTTAATTAAATAAATGCTTTGCTGTTTTAATATACTTAAACCACATCAAGAATTATTTAATTTTATAATTATAGTTGGAACTATTAAAATGCGTTAAGTAATCATATACTGGATTGTTTATTGCAAATGGAGGCAAATATAATAAAATGGTGACGGAGCTACATACCATATATTTCAATGTGGCTGTTTAAAATAGAATTTCGCGCCTTTTCCCTCCGTAGTTACAGCTCCACGTAGGCGAACACTGCAAACTACCATTTATTATGTAGGTAGTACATAATATTAAATAATATTTGTCTTAACAATTCATATATCATAAACAAACTGAGCTGACTTAGAAATAACAAACTGGTGAAGGTATTTTATAATTTGTCCATTACTTCCTCACAGTACTAATATTAAATGTATATTTTACGTTAATATCTGATAAAAGAAATTAAACTTTATTCCATTAGGACTGAAAGGTGATATTGAAAAGTACTTTAAATTAACAGTTTTGTATTGATAATCATTATTCTGACAGCATATGACTGTTTAAATATGACATCACTATAGCAGTATACTACATGCCCTTTGTCAACTGCTTAGGAAAAAAGTATTAACATGCGATATATGTATGCAGTCGATGCCACGAAATCACAAATTATATTGTAGTTCTACTTATTGCTATGCACTTTGTATAATTTTTTCTATCTATCTTTTAAGTATTGACTAACGGTATGGGTACAATAGATTTTTCTAATTAATCCTGGTGAATGTTGCACCTGAGTGACACGGTGAAGGCGAACTCCATAATTTTGTATCACCACAGACCTCTGAAATATAAGGAGCATCTGTTCTTACAGGTCACGCCTGTAACCGCAACGAAATAAGAACAAATTTAATTTATTATTCTTTTATGTTAATTACGATTTTTTGTAATTTTGTTTTCTGTATTATTATTTTGTTTTCTATTAGGTAACCCTCTATGTTCCTACTAAAATAATGTTAATGAAATGCTATACAATATTGTACCATAAATATTACACCGTAAAGTAAAATGTTGAAAGAACCATAGACCATATTGGAATCTCTTACTTAAAGTTAGTACTTAATTTAGAGGGTGTAACTTCTATCCAAAGGTAATGGCTTAATAATGTTAATGTACCAAAACGAGTATCAATGAAATATTTTAGAAATAAATAATGTTTTTTTTATTTTGTTTGTTTTATTTTTTATTTTGTGCAACTACGAATGTATTTATATCGACACCTGTTCAAATAATGCCACAAGTAAAAAATATATATATTATGCTACTAGCAGTTACTTTATCTGCTTTTTTAGGGTATAGCCTAACGCCGTTAAGACCTGAAACGGTTATAAATACAGACATACTGTCGCATTTACAACATTAGTATGCATTTTGGAATTCGTTATACTTTAAACTTGCATACTGTCATGTAAGTGCTTTGATAAAACTTTTTATATAAGACACGCATTTATTGTCAATACTATGTACAGTTTTTGCTTTTTAATAAATAAACGGTACCTAATATTGTTTCTAAGACACAAATAGTGAGAAATGTATTTAAAATTATTACTAAAGGTTTTTTTGTTTTTTTTTTACTTGTGACGCTTTTTGAGTATGGATGTAATGAGTATTGCCAGTAATGACTCATATATAATATACATAGCATGTTTAGTACTTATGGAATGTGTACATAACTACATCACATATTTTTTTATTTTACCAAAGTTTCGCACGCCTGCATATAATCTATTTTCATATTAAATTTATACAAGTTTCATTTAACAATTAGATACATTGTTTACACTATTTATGAATGAGTCGCTTATTATCCGTGACTTCGTTGACATAGTCGATCGATTTAAAAAACTTATTAGACTATTTGTTACCTCAAAACTTTTCTAGTTGAACCGGTTTTCATGATTCTTTTTTTTATTTGATCAAGAGTTTTATACTTATTCTTAATATACGCGTTTGAAGTAAAAGAGTTCGAGTTTTAAATAAAAGATAGATTCATCGGTTATCTACGATTATGAACTGTTGTATTTTTTTATACAAGTTTATACGTTAGTATGACATAATGACATAATTAAAGCATATAACACATCTAGAAATCTTTTAATCCTTGATAAGTGAGTCATTTCCCTCTATCTATGATAACAGTTATAACACATTTCACAAATAAAACAATAATAGTTTTTTTTTATTTTCCTATCAAGATAAATGATTGATATAATAACATCAATCATCAACGTGTTGAATGTTAATAGCGTCATTTTTTATCATATCGCACAAGGTCGCCAAAAGACAATTTTCTATAAATTTACGACCAACCCTCTGTAGATGGCAAACACCGTTAACAAACATCAAATTCTCTGTACAGCATATAAGTTGCTGAATAGTAATTGTTAAAATATAACATGGTTATAACTTTTAAAAATATGATCTATATTAACTATAATAGGCTATCTTTTAGATCTAGAAATAACAGACGAGGTCACGTATAAATAGGTACTTAAATCTGGCATGTTACGTAAGTACTAGTGTTGAAACATTCATTTCATGTAGAAATAAATGCAGAAAGCTAATTTATTATTGTCATAGACCCATGTCATTTACTCAATAATATAACCACGATTATTTAGGATACAAAGGTCCAATGTACAACTGCTATAACGACAAAAAATCATAAAACTAATAATAAACAATTTCTTCTTTGCCTAAAAGGAGCTACTGAGTCCTCAAACAAACGTAAGAAAACTTTATTTAATAAAACATCACCGTAGGAAATTGCAATAAAATTAGATAAAAAAATACAATTCACTCCTAGAAAAAAACTGACAATTCGTGCACAGATAAATAATATTAATTACAAATCTATTTTTAAACATGCTCTTCTTAATTTATATTTCTAATTTATATTTATTAATAGTATTCATATTTTTTTTAAATAATGTTTATATTATATTATAATTTATAATGTTTAAAAATAGAACTATAATTATAATGTGTGCACACTAAATAAAATACAGTATTAAAATCACAAATCACAAGTAGTCACCGCTGTATTGTAGACTTCGATACCAACTGAATAGTCAGTTATCAATCAGTCATATCAGTTTACCTAATAATATCTTATCATAATCTAATAATATTTATAAGTAAATAGAAATGGTCACAATCTTGAAATCACAAACTATTGAAAGGACTTAAAAAAAAAGAGATTTTTTTATTCTCTTAGTAGGTACATAATCGTAGTAATGTTTAACAACGTGTTTACAAACTCTAATAATTTATGACTATTTTCTTTTTAATTGACAGGGTTTGGTTATGGGTTTTTTTTTAAATTGAGGTTTTTGAGCAAATAATATTTTTTTCTAAATTTATATATAAAATATACAATACAATATCATTCATTGTCTAGAGAATTCATTAAGCATGTTTGTTTTATATCTCGATGCATGTGTCAATGTAAGCACAATTTTATAGATATTAACACCTGCGTAAAGACAGGCGTAAGATGTCAGGCGAAATCAACGCCATTTCTTATTGGTGCCTGTTACAATCTTATAATTTATAGAAGTGGTATATATATATATTTAATTAAGCACAGAGTATATTTATACATATAAGGGAAAAAAGATATCAACAGTTTATATTAATGATAATTGAATGGTCAATAGCACGAATTTCATAAATTTAATTCACTGAAATCTGGGATTATTATATACATATATATATGTACATTGATACTAATTGCATATATATTATACATATTAATTTATATGCAATATAGGGAATTTATTTTCAACGTAAAATTAATTATGTGCTTTTTTCTAAGTAAGTATAGGTTTGCATTATATCTCCATTCAGTATATAGACCGTATGTGACATGCTCTACGTCTGTCTAAATTAGATGAAATTTAAAACAACAACTGTGTTTGAATTACATTATTATAACATATATTTTGTTCTTTAATCGAATAATCACGCTCCATTGTATGGAATGAAAGCAAAGTTATCTACTTTAGGCATAACCCGGAGTCGGGGACGTTGGCGAGTGCTCCCGCGACGGGGCCCCACCTACGGCAGTCTAGACACCACGCCAGTGGAGCCCCGGGCCACCACCAGCGGTACCGTCAACGGCCTCACAGAGGACATGTAATGATACAACTATGGTTTACAATAATCACTCACAACGAGAATTTCTCACGCAGATCCTGTAATTTAAATGTCTATACATAAATATTGTTATATTTATTTCATAAAAATTCTTTCAAATTCACGAATATATAAAAACGGACTAACATTACACGAAGTTTGGAAATTTCAGTTACAGTAAGAGTAACTCCTTCACCGTACAACTTTGAAATTTATTGTCCTTGCAGGAAATGTGTTGCAGTATCCAATAGTACTTTTTTTTTTAATTTTCTCTGCCCCACCCCTTCTCTCACCCTTCAGTGTTCGACTTGAATGTACCTACGTTAATACTGTGTAACAGAAAATAAATTATTTTTAATTATAACTGTCTGGATAGTCATGCCCACTAGTGGCCCATACGGCTGAAGACATCGTCTAAGTGCATTGGATAAACCCAAAGAAATATCTATGGATATTTTAATGTTTACTGTTTGTTATAACTATATAAATGTTCTTTAATGTCGATTATTGTAAACCCTAGTTTTAACAGTGGATAATGGACTTTAGTAGTGAATTCGGATGTGAGGAAGAGCGAGCTATCTAGGCTGCGATATTAAGGTAAGTATCTACATATAAAAATAGTCATAGACACTCGATTACCCGTCAGTATATTATCGTTCTAATGGACTTCGATTTGCGCTTGTGGTTGCTACGTCCCGCTCTCTTTGGAGATTCGACGTCACTCTAATCGGAGAAGTCGAATTAGAACAACCTGGCGGGTGACCGACTGGTCTGTGACCGCATTTAGTGACCAAAATATTTAATCCATCGTAAGTACCTAGTCCTATACTTAGGTATCTATAACGTAGTCTAGTAATAAGTAAGGATTGTAAAGGGAAAGCAGGGCTGATGTAACTTAAATCATCAATAAGATGATCAGGTTAGGATGAAGAATCATATCAAAAAGTTAATAACAAGGCACCTTCCTGACGAATGGTCTATTCGGGAGTTAAATCTCAGTAAATCGGCAATCGTTTACGTTACAATACTGAGACGTTTATGCGTACTATCTACTACTGTAAAGACTGTTTGTACCGAAAAAATCTCAATTAATTACATGGTCTCTGTAAATAATCTGATAGAGATTTTGTATAGGTATAGAAAACAGCCTAGAGGCTACATTTTGTAGCATGTGAGATGCAAAATGTCATTTCACTAATGTTTGAAGGTAGTATCTCGACCAAGGCGCTTTAGTGACCTATATTAAATCATGCTTGCAGACTTTAATCTACTACCTTAAAGCAAGTGAAATAACTGCAATCGACAGCATATTTTTCATGCACAGAATACAGAGAAAAGAGTAACAGTATCTGTCCTTTTTAATTTTTGATCTCACTTTGAATAAAATTCTTTGATTATCTGTATAAATTGCTCTATGACTTTTCAATAGACAATATTTTTAGGTCTCGCCCGTAATGTTCTGTTTAAAAATTATTTAGTAATTTTGATGGATATATTGTTAACACAAAAATAACATGTTTTGATGAGATTGTTTTGTATGACGGGACTAATTGTCTAAATTATGATAATGTAATAGCTCCTAAGATTATAAATAAGTATTCAAATACCTATATATCTATTAAAGTCCGCCTTTTATATCAATACCAGTAAAATGGCAGTCGGAAATGTCATTATTGTGGAATTATCCGATTTAAAAGTTGGATTGTAGACTACAGTTAAATCAAATACCTACAATTTTTTTTATATAGCTGCAATATTTTTAATTCTATTTATTCTGTAATTTTCCATGAATACAAAAAGTAAGATAAAAAAATTGAAGCAACATACATACTAGTACCTAACCTAAAAATTGTTACTTTTTTATTTAAATCAAGTACCTAATTTAAATATAAAAATTGATATTTATTTATTTAATTTATATTTTTTATTTATACAATTTTTGCTGGAAATTCATATTAAAATGATGAGCTAAAAAGCTTCCAATTATGTATTTTCACTGTGCTAATTTAAATATAGGACGATACGGAAT